TTGTTGAATTTAGGCAATTTTCGGTGAGCTGGAACCAATTACCCAAAAACCCATTGAAACAATGGTTTCGGTTAACGAGCAACCTGCTGGAACGGATTGTGTTCGTTAACCGAGGGACCACTGTAATAATAATAATGCAGATAAAAAAAAGAAAAAAAAAGAAAAAAGCTGCCTATCTACCTATTGGACAAACTAAAATCGTTCCGAACCACGGGAGTTTCCGGACCACAGAATGCCGGACTAGAGAGGTACAACCTGTATTATTATTGTATTGTTATCATTATTATTTTATTTTGGTGTACAGTTGTACCCCACTTAACGCGGTCAATAGAACCCAGAGGGTCCCGCGTTAAGTGAAATCCGCGTTAAGTGAACAACAGAACATATGGGATTAATTCCAATAGAAACCAGCCCGACCCCCAAACTCCACTTTTTGAAGACGCATAACTATGTTGTAGTAAAAATAACATCTTAATTTTATGATGGTACATGCACACAATTAATACTTAAGAGAAATAGAGAAATACAGTCGCCAAGTTAATGTCCATTCAAATAATGGACTCAACTCCCTCCCCCTCTTCTCACACTACACTGCCGGCTCTTCCCTCTGAGAAATTTTGGGGGAAAACCAGGTACAGTATAGTAATAAATAATTCCTCAAACTAAAGTTAGGATAATATAATTGACATTGCTGGATTCCTTGTAAGACCAGGAATATTTTGAATACAAATGTCATATATATTTCACAAAAGATAACATATTTACTCAGAATAAACTTTACATCTAAAATTTGTATGTCTAATGCAAAATCTATGATGTTTATATTCAAAATGATCACCAAATTGTAAGAATTCCAGCAATGTAAATTATATTCTGGCCGGATAATTTGTATGAATTTTATGAGCTAAAACAAATATCTTCAGTTAATAAAAAAAAAATATTCTTCACGACACTATCTGTCAATCAAAGTACCCCACCTTGCCTTCCCCCCCTCTTCCAACCGCGCGGTCAGTCCCAACCCTCCCCCCACCCCCCACCAATCCTCCCTTCAAGAGTTTTTAACATTTAGTATTAAATAATACCTCAGATTAAAGTTAGGATAATATAATTGACATTGCTGGATTCCTTGTAAGACCAGGAATATTTTGAATATAAATGTCATATATTTTTCACAAAAGATAACATATTTACTCAGAGTAAACTTTACATCTAAAATTTGTATGTCTAATGCAAAATCTATGATGTTTATATTCAAAATGATCACCAAATTATAAGAATTCCAGCAATGTAAATTATATTCTGACCGGGTAATTTGTATGAATTTTATGAGCTAAAACAAATATCTTCAGTTAATAAAAAAAAAAAATATTCTTCACTGTAACAGATGGTCGGTCGGTCCCTCCCTCCCCCCCACCCCCACCAACCGTCTCACCAGATGTGTGGGAAAACCAGAATATTTACCTTTTAGTAATAAATAATACCTCAAACTAAAGTTAGGATAATATAATTGACATTGCTGGATTCCTTGTAAGACCAGGAATATTTTGAATATAAATGTCATATATTTTTCACAAAAGATAACATATTTACTCAGAATAAACTTTACATCTAAAATTTGTATGTCTAATGCAAAATCTATGATGTTTATATTCAAAATGATCACCAAATTATAAGAATTCCAGCAATGTAAATTATATTCTGGCCGGGTAATTTGTATGAATTTTATGAGCTAAAACAGGCAGTCAGGCAGGGTGGCGGGTGGGGGGTGGGGCGAATCTAAAAATAGCTCTCGAGCCGGACACTCACCGCTTATATGTGGAAAAAACCCGTGTTAAGTGAAAGTTCAGCTCTGGCGAGGCACCGCGTATATGGTAAAACGCGCTAAGTGAAACCGCGTTAGGCGGGGTAATACTGTACAGTATTTTAATTAAAAATCTTATTTACTATGAATAATTATTATTACTCTGTATTATAATTATTATTGCTATTACATTTTCGCCCACTAGGCCCCGATGTGAGTCAGTGATTTATGTCCGGGTGGGCTAATCCCTGTTAAAAAAAAAAAAAAAATACCCAACAAAAAAAACTTTAGGTTTTTAGAGCTTTTCGGTTTTCGGAATTTCGGATAAAGGGTTGTCAACCTGTATATCCTTCTGTTTATTTACTAGAGGTTTTAGATGAGATTATAAAGTTTCAAGTCATTGTTAACGATATGTAATGGAAAAAGTATACACTCAATCATTTATCAAATGTTTGCCTTTGCACTTTAATATTAGAGTGCTGCACTGATGTCAGTGGCGTAGCTAGAGTGTGTGCCGCCCGGGGCGGCCCTTGAGTTTGCCTTCTGTTGTCAGAAAAAGCCACCCCGATCAAAGTAGGGGCTTTTGTCTGGGTGGCTTTTGTCGGGGGGCTTTTGTCTGTACCCCAGTGAGGATAGTGTCTTAGTATAAAATCGCAATGCTGTGAAACAAAATCTTAATATTTAATCTCAGTACCGCAGCAAAAGTCACATCAATATTTTTTAACCAATACTTTAATATTTCTTACCTTATAGTATTATGTCTTCCAACGAAGTAAATAACTGGATCGAAAACACAAGAGAACTTAAAAGTCGTCTAGCCTCCCCTCGTCTTGTCACGATGGAAGACTTGTGCAGAACTGCATGGTTTTGCAGCTACTGGAGACGTTAATCCTTCCCTTTGTGTCGGCGGCAAGTTAATCCTCGTCGTGTCTGACCTAACACACCCACACCACATGAGCTCACTGGCGTACTTGTTTGAAAATGTTTCCTTAATCCTCAACAGGTTACAGGTTGTGTGTGTGGCGGGGGAGGGCGCATAGCAAGGGTGCAGCTCATGACGTGGCCGTGATGATGTGGGTCAGGTGTTAGGTCAGACACGACAAGGATTAACTTGCCGCCGATACAAAGGGATGGATTAACGTCTCCAGTAGCTGCAGATATGGGTGATGAGCAGACCCAAAAGTGCCACCCGGGGCGGACCGCCCCCCCCTTAGCTACGCTAGTGACTGATGTGTGTGGTGGTGATGCCAAGTCGGTGTTGTCAAGGTATAGGTGTGTGTGGGTGCATGCATGCCGTAAGTGTGTGCATGCATGCGTGCGCTCATGCACTGAGTGGTGTAATGGATCTAGTGTGGCAGCATTATGTTAGTGTTAAGGTGCAAGCACTACTTGCTTCCTCTCGCTTTCAGCTACCGCCGCTGGCTAGCCCTCGTGGTGAACAGGGAAGCAACTTGCACAAGTCTTCCCCTGCGAGTACACAGCCTCTTCACCATCAAAACTCCTGCTGTGCCTCCTCGTGGCAACACACGGTAACTGGGTGCCTTGTGGGCCCAGGCTAGACCAGCAGGGGATCTTGGAGTAGCAGTGAGCCCCAGAGGGACAGCGCATAGGCCCACTGGTATGTGGACACGTCCTGGCGCCTACCAACCACTGCCTTGTAGATTAACCTTGGTAGGTATAAGGCTATGGGAGTAAACCCCAAGCGAAAAATCTGCGGTGGAGCCCTGCATCAGAGCTCCAACATGACCCCAACGGCGGTATAGGCGGAAGAGGTGATCAGCATAGGAACCCAATGACTACACCAGTGGATAAAGGCAATGCATGATGGACAGGCTACTAAGGTGAAACCCAACAAACTGGGCTATCGGCAGTCCATTGCAACTCTCCCTCTGCCCAGTCATTGCAAAACTTGCACCACTGAATCAGGAAAAGGGAGAGCCAAGATGTGTGGTTGCAGCCTGTGTTCCTGCTTCACCACATAAATCAACTCAAGCACAGCCATCACCCAGCTCATCATAATTTTCATCATCAAAACCCCTATACCCCCAAAAGTCCTATGGCAATTGACAAGTGACAATGGAGACAAGCAGAGATGACTGCCGGGAGTCTCTAGTCACAACTCTGCATATGGGCGGCACAGATAAGTTGGTCGTTTATGCACTGGGATCTAGGTAGCAGTGCAATCCGGTCCTGTCTGTGTGACTGAGCAGCCCTCTCAAGGAGCCACTCTGCTCACCCCACATGGGTAGGGGGCTAGAAAAGGTGCCCTAAACATAACCTGCCTAAAGAAACAACCTGACTGGGCAACTGCACCCAGTAAGGTCATCCTTATGCAGCCGAAAACACAATTATAATTACTGTACAGATTATGTGTAATCAAATGTTTAACAAAGGTTTCTGAGGTATATACAGTATCTAAATGTTAAAATATACCAAATACACCTTTATGTGTGTCACTTACAATGTGAGGGTCCCAATTAGGCCCTATTCCTATTAATTCTTATGGCAATTAATTCCCCTTTATAAGTGGTTACATAATCAGTGACTTTTTTCTGGTCCCTATTAACCACTATAAAGAGGACCCCTGTACAAGAAGAGATTCACGTTCTCTTTTGCCATCAGTTAAGTAAGGAAAGTTTTCGTAGTATTAGGAAGTTTTGCAAGTTAGGAAAGGTTAGGTCAAGTTTTTATTTTTGTGTGTGTTTTAATCCCGCACTTCCCTCATCTTCAAAGGTGTGCCCACTTTGTGCAAACTATTGTTTTATATCACATTCTCTCAAATCACCACGAAAAACCAATTTTGGTTATTAACAAATCAAATCTTTACCAAATAGTTGGGATCATGTTTTACACAATTAACAACCTTTGTAAGGTGTTGCAGTCTATCCTTGGTTAAGATATATATATATAACTTGATGTTTAGAGAAGAATATTACTGTATTGAACTTTAAATCTGTTCATTCTGTAAATTTCAATGGTACAAGTGATACTTGATTATACTGTACCTGTACTGCATTGTATTACAGTCTAGATTTTTAAATATTTGTTTGAGAATTTTTTAATGACTTTGTTTCAGATCCTTTCTCACAATACAGCACAGTTTTTTTATTATTTTTTGGAAAACACATTGCTGTGCTACATAAGTTAAGGCTTCTCTATGTAATTACTGTTTTATTTTAAACATGATCACTTTTAACAGAAACTGTTCTGGCGGGAGTTGGCCACACCATGCTGGTGCTGTCTGGGAAAGGTGGTGTGGGCAAAAGCACAGCAACTGTGCAACTTGCATTCACCCTCAAAAAAGCTGGTCATCGTGTTGGTGTGTTAGACATTGACCTGTGTGGTCCTTCCATACCACGCATGATGGGAGTTGAGGGAAGGGATGTTCTTACTACTCCTGATGGGTACGTTGTCTTTCAAATTTATATTTTTTCATTTGAGTTATTAATGAAGCTGATAAACCTTCTCTCTCTGTCTCATTTTTATGTCACTTTCTGTACTTAAGAAACTTGCTCATACTTGCCAAAGTGAGTAATACACTAGAAATCACTGCACTCCTTTTCTTACACTTGCAGGAAATGGGTACCGGTGTATGTTGACGAGGAAAGGAGATTAAGTGTTATTTCTATAGCGTTCTTCCTGGACTCCAAGAGTGATGCTGTTATCTGGAGGGGACCAAAAAAGAATGGTAAGGTATTGTACAATATCTCAAAAAAGTACTGTATCTGTCCACACTCTGTGTGAAACATTATGAAACCACGGATCATAGATATTGCGACATGTTACTTTGATATACAGCATAGTTTAACATAAATAATACAATGTGTATTCATTCTGGCATAATAAATATGACGTTCTCGATTTAACGAACTAATTTGAGCCACCCCTTTCAGTCAAATCGAAATTTCCTCTAAATCAAATTTCCGTTACAGTCGACCCTCGTTAATTCGGACCCCTTTAATCCGGATTTTGGATATATCGGACAAAATCTGAACTGTCCATATCAAATTTCTGGTTCTGGGATTGTCCCAGTTGCAATTGGGGTTGCAATTTCAAATTCTGTGTCACTACTAAGAAATAACAAAGTCCCTGGTGCACTCTAAGATTAAGAGAAAACGGACGACTCAGGCGTCCTGAAGTGAGAGAAAACGGACTCCTATGACGGGGCACTCAAATAAAGAGACATGGCTACATGTTTTGTGGACTAGCCACTGTACAGTATCCTTTTCATCACTTTGTAATAAACCTCGTTATGCCTATGTGTTTCTGATAATTATCATAACATTATATATTTATATATTTAGCGGTTGCACAAACACAAGGCCTCACACATGCCATTCAGACTGACAGACTTGACAAGTTTTACCAACCATAAAGACAGTTGAAGCTATAAACATCACTCACAATGGATCTTGAATATTCCAACTGTAATCAGACATACCTAAGTTGCCTCAACAATTGCAACCCCAGTTGCAATATCAAATTCTGTGTCACTACTAAGATATAACAGTCTCTGGTGCACTCTAAGATTAAGAGAAAACGGACGACTCAGGAGTGCTGAAGTGAGAGAAAACGGACTTCTATGACGGGGCACTCAAATAAACATACACATAGCTGTATAATGCAATATTAACCCCTAAATCGGTTAATTCGTACAATCGGCTAAAACGGACACCCTTCCCCCCCTATTAGTCCGTTTTAACGAGGGTCGACTGTATTTTCGTTTGATTTAGCGAAATATTTTGCTAATCGAGCATGATTCTGTTAAATTTCCACTTAATCAAATTTCCGTTGCTTTCGCTCGATTTGGCGAACTAGTTCGCCAAATCGAGCATGATTCCATTTAAATTCCGTGCCAAATACGTCGCTTGGTGCTTGGGGTTTGTTTACATCCGCTCAGTCTGTGCCCTGCCGCCATTGCGTGTGTTGTTCACTGCTACCTCTCAGTCTACATCTCGGTCAACTAACTACAGTGGTCCCTCGGTTAACGAGTTACCTCCCATAAGATTCTTAAATTCGGTTAACGAGCAACCCCTCGGTTAACGAGTTTCTTACGAGCCGACCTCAACAAGATTTGGCTTGCACTGAGCACTCAACCAGCTGTAGTATTAGTCTGCCAATACATTAATCGGTTCTAGGGCTTAAATTCCTTACTATTTTAGTACAGGTTGTACCTCTCTAGTCCGGCAACCTCGGGACCTGACCGGTGCCGGACCATGGAAATTGCCGGACCATGGAAATTCACCCTTTTCCTTGTTAGATAGTGACTAGTGCTTATGCCTGGAAGCACTAGCACCACTTTCTCTGCGTCATGGTCTCTTTGAAGACATATTGAAGGGTTAAATGTCGTATAGTAGCTTCTCAAATTTCGCGAGTTTTTAATTCTTAACGTATTTTATTGGAACACACAAAAAAATAAATAAATAAAAATTTTGACGGCGGAAACTTGAATTTCGACGGGTTTGAACGGCCCGCCAACGTGCAGACGACGTGCATAATCGTGTAAACAGGGTCATTTCTCTTATGTACAAAAGATTCATTATTGTTTATTACTGAATGTCTTTTTTATTGAATTAATGTTTATATGTGCAAAATGAGCAATACAATTCATTAATAATACGTAGAACATTAAAACACATGAGGAAATGACACAGCATTGTTTTCGTTGATTACAAAACCAGTGACTGACTGGTTCTACATATAAAACTGAAGAAAATAAGACCTTGGTTGTAGCTGTAGTAAAATTAATATGGTTGTTTTAAGTAATGTTATTTGATGTTAATAAATGGAACAATAGAAGTAGCTAACGATAATGGTAAAGAAAAAGAGAGATCGCATATGTAAGTGCGCATGCGCACACGTGAAAACATATCGTCATTACTTTACATAAGAATATGAAAGCAACACTTATTTACTGTTCATATATATATTTTAATTAATGTTTCTGAATTTGTTTTTATTGAATTAATGTACGTGTGTGCAAAATTAACAATACAATTTATTAATAATACGTGGAATATTAGAGGAGACGAGACGGCTGCCGGCATTGTTTATGTTAAAGCTTACGAAACCAGTGACTGATTGGTTCTACATATAAAACTGAAGAAAATAAGACCCTGAGTTTAGCTGTAGTAAAATTAATGTAAAAAATGAATATGGTTGCTTGAAGTACCTGTAATGTTATTTAATGTTAATAAATGGAACAATATAAGTAGCTAACCATTAATGGTAAAAAAAAAAGTGAGACTGCTCGTATGTAAGTGCGCACATGTGAAAATATATCGTCATTACTCTACATAAGAATATGAAAGCAACACTTATTTACTGCTCATATATATTGAAGGGTTAAATGTTGTACTCTGTATAGACAAGCAGAGAGAGAGAGAGAGAGAGCAGCCGAACTGCCGGATGTAAACAAACCTTAATTTCCCGCGGCTTTTTTTTTTTAAGGGGATTAGCCCACCCAGGCATAGGTCACTGACCCACATTGGGGCCTGAGGGGCAAAAATTTAATACTCCTGTAATAATAATAATAATTCAGATAAGTAAAAAAAACAAAACAAAAAAAACTGCCTATCTACCTATTGGACAAACTAGAATCGTTCCGGACCACGGGAGTTTCCGGACCACAGAATGCCGGACTAGAGAGGTACAACCTGTATATATCAAGAAGTTTATACTATTCAATAATTTTAAAAGTTTATTATTAAATTTTTTAGTCATTTTAACAATTATTGAACATAATTGAAGGTAAAGTGACTAGTTTAATGCGCGGCATCCAGCCTCTTAACACAGCAAACAGGCGTTAGTCTCTCTCTGTTTTCACTGGAGGTAACATCTTGCTTGAGACTCTCTTCAACTAAATGCTTTTTTTCTGTGTTTCCAAGCAAATTATTGGTCATTTTGAAATTTATTTTACATATTGACAAAATATAGTGCAGTGCAGTGTTATTTTAAAGAAAATATTCTTTATTTACAACAAGTTTAACTTTGAAAAGCACGTGTTGACATTGTTTGAATCCAGCATGGGGCCTAAGAGATCAAGAAAAGCGATTTCAATCCAAACCAAGCAGGAAATCATAAAAAAACATGAACAATTCATTAGAACAAATGCGCTATGCAAAGAATATGGCATGTCGACATCAACTGTGTCGACAATTCTTGCACAGAAAGACAAATTTAAAGAAGTGAAAGTGAGAGACAAATCTACAAGAGTGTTTAAAAGTAGATCCCTAATTGCAGAAACTGAGAGGTTACTTATCATCTGGATTAGGGAAAAACAGATGAAAGGTGATTCAGTTTCTACTGAATTCATTTGTGAAAGAGCCAGGGAGATTTACGAACATTTAAAGACAGATCAACCTGGTTTTTCAGGCACAGAATTTGAAGATTTTCGGGCCAGCTAAGGCTGGTTCGAAAAATTTAAGAAAAGAAGTTACATTTTCAGTGTTGTTAGGCATGGTGAAGCTGCTAGTGCTGATAAGGAAGGTGCAGCAAAGTTTTTAGATGAATTTAAAAAACTGACGGAAGAAGAAAATTATCTTCCACAGCAAGTGTTCAATGTGGACGAAACTGGGCTGTTCTGGAAAAAGATGCCCAAAAGAACATTCATCACCAAAGAAGAAGCCTCTTTACCTGGGCATAAACCCATGAAAGACAGTCTCACTCTATTGCTTGGTGCCAATGCTTCAGGGAATTTACGACTGAAGCCTATTCTTGTCTACCACTCTGAAAACCCCAGGGTGTTCAAGCAACAGAAAGTGGTAAGAACAAAGCTTGGAGTTTATTGGAAATCCAACCGAAAGGCATGGGTGACAAGACAGCTCTTTAATGAATGGGCTGTTGATGTGTTTTGCCCTTCTGTCAAGAGCTACCTAACCACCAATAAACTCCCTTTAAAGGCTCTTCTCCTCATGGATAATGCTCCTGGTCATGACCCTGACCTTGCCAGAAATTTGGAGTATCAATTTGACTTTGTGAAAGTGTTGTTTTTGCCTCCAAACACAACATCAATCATACAGCCAATGGACCAGAATGTGATCAGCAACTTCAAGAAGTTGTACATGAAGAAAATGTTTAGGAGGTGTCATCAGGCAACTTACAATGATCCTGAACTAACACTGAAACATTTCTGGAAGACACAATTCAACATCCTGGATGCTGTAAAATTGATTGTGTCATCATGGCAAGAAGTCTTCACTAGCTCTCTCAATTCTTCATGGAAAGCACTGTGGCCATCAGTAGTCCATGATTTTGAGGGATTTGAGGAAGAAACAGAGTTGGATCAGGAGATTGTGTCCATTGGTCAGTCATTGGGCCTTGAAGTGGAGGAGGAGGATGTGGAAGAGCTTGTGATGTCTCATGAGGAGGAACTTACTCCTGATGACTTGAAGCAACTGGATGAGATGTTACAGGTAGAGGCTGACAGTGGTGAGGAGGAAATTGAAAGTGATGACCATATGTCAGCTAAACAGTTGAAAGATGTGATTTACTACTGGGAGAAGTTCAGGGAACTGGCTTCAAAGCACCCAGAAGTGGAAAAAACTGAACTAACTTTGTGTCATGTTGAGGACTCAGTGGTCTCCTTCTTTAAACATAAGTTAATGGTGAGGAGGACAGGTGCCCCACAGACCACAATTGACACTTTCTTCAGTAAAAGGCAGAGGGAACAAGATGCTATCCCTCAGCCTTCCACTTCAAGAAGGAGAGAGGTTGTTCATGGTGGAGAATCTGTCAGTCCAGAGGTTCCTGACATTTTC